GGGGACTCAATGCACAATCATTAATCCACCCCAAGCCTAATTCTCAACAGTCTCCAATCTTCTGAAGCATAACGAACAAGTTCTTACATGGTGAACAAATTCTTACATAGTGAATAAATTCTTACATGGTGAACAGTGCAAGGGCAGTCATCATAGAAAGTTTCGGTTTTGATCACACGCATTATGAACTATAAACAATCAGGTCAAATGTGAATATTCGTTTGATTTTTATACTTGATTTATATGTGAATCCCACATTTCTCCCTTATTATTATTATTATTATTATTATTATTATTATTATTGTTATTTTAATAAAACACTGAAGTGGTAGGTAGATGCAAGATAAAGGTAGGAAACATAGTTTAGTGCTGTAAGAGGGCAAATGTAGATGATCAGGTCTGTGCCTATAGACTAAGTATTAATCCAAGCTAGACAAGGGCAACAAAACATCCAAGGATGGGATGTGGATCTTTTGAGCTGAAGGAAGGCAATCAAGACCCAGAAGATTTGAGAAAATCTTTTACCACTCCCTTAACTGTGTAAAAGAATTCAGATAGGGGGCCTGGCCCAGAAAGAGAGCTATTAGCAGAGATAACTTTTTAATGTGAAAGACTTACCCGCATGGCACGGTAAACATCTAATTACCAAACATCTGCTCTTCTTCTGTTCTGTGAATCACCACCCTTCCCTTTCAAGCCCCAGGTCCCTATCCCTTTCCCTAGCTCTGTATGGCTTAAACCTCAATTGCCTGACAGCCTTTGGGTCTCATGTTATGGAGCTCCCATATGCATGAAATTAAATTTGTTTTTACCCCATTAGTCTGTCTTATGTCAACTTAATTATTAGACCAGACAAAGAGCCTAGAAGGGAAGAAAGGAAAATTTTTTCACCCCAACAAGTTCTGGAAAGAAATTTCACTCACTTTGTGTTTCTAGAACACAAAAAGGAAATTAATGTTTGTTGAATCAGTAAGTAAGTGTCCAGAGAGACAGCTTGATAGAGAAATGTCCAAAGATACAAAGAAATATTTTATTAACATCACAGTTTGGGACTGGCTCTACCCTCTGCCCCCACCAACTATGCCAGACAGCAAACGAACACCATCTGCCCATCCCAGAATACATGCATCTCAAAACAAAGGTTGATACAAAGATAGTTGATGAAAGAGAGAATAAAGATGAAAGCTGAATTTTAAGCAGGA